CAGGGGACCTCCAAACCCTATCGGAACATTTTAGCATCCATCGTGGGGCCCGAACGGGTATTTCTATTGTAGCCACAAGGAACGAGTGAGTGGTGCTTTAAAGGACGTCAACCTTTAAGACTTAGCCAAATTTGGCATCAACCATCCCACCATCCAGCTTCAGGTACATAGCCAAATTTGGCATCAACTGCTCGGCCATCCAGCCTCCCAAACTTAGCCAAACTTGGCATCCGGCCATCCGGCCTCACAGACCTAGCCAAATTTTGGATCAACCTCAACTGCTCAATCATCCGACCTCACAAACTTAGCCAAATTTGGCATCAACCATTTGGCCATTCGGCCTTACAGACTTAGCCAAATTTGGCATCAAAAATCCAACCATCCGGCTTCAGGTACTTACCCAAATTTGGCATCAACCTCAACCATCCGACCATCCGGCCTCAGGCACTTAGCCAAATTTGGCATCAACCTCAACTACTCGGCAATCCGGCCTCACTAGACTTGGCCAAACTTGGCATCCGGCATCCGGCCATCGGCCTCAACTGATCGGTCATCCGGCCTCACAAACTTAGCCAAATTTGGCATCAACCTCAACTACTCGGCAATCCGGCCTCACTAGACTTGGCCAAACTTGGCATCCGGCATCCGGCCATCGGCCTCAACTGATCGGTCATCCGGCCTCACAAACTTAGCCAAATTTGGCATCAACCATCCGGCTTCAAGTACTTAGCCAAATTTGGCATCAACCTCAACTGCCCGGCCATCCAGCCTCACAGGTACTTAGCCAACTGTTGGCCATACCTTGGCCCTAGAGAAATCCCGGCCGGCCTCATCGAAGGTCGCCGACCGTGGATCTTCACCAAAGGAATCACGACTGGCCTCATCGAAGGTCAGCGACTGTGGATCTTCACCAAATGAATCCCGGTCGGCCTCACCGAAGGTCGGCGACCGTGGATCTTCACCAAAGGAATCTCTGCAGGCCTCACCGAAGGTCGGCGACTGTGGATCTTCACCAAATGAATCCTGGTTGACCTCACCGAAGGTCAGCGACTGTGGATCTTCACCAAAGGAATCCCGGCTGGCCTCACCGAAGGTCAGCGACTGTGGATCTTCACCAAATGAATCTCAGTTGGCTTCACTGAAGATCGGCGACTGTGGATCATCACCAAAGGAATCTCGGCCGGCTCACCGAAGGTCGGCGACCGTGGATCTTCACCAAAGGAACCAAAGGTCAGCGACCGTGGATCTTCGCCAAAAAAGTCCCGACCAGTCATCAAAGGAGCAGTAGTGTATCCAACTCAGCCAACAAAGGCAAGACTCGTTTTTCCAACCACCCGTCATGATCAACGAACAAGGAGGACATGCACAAAAATGAACCAGAGAACCCATCCCTATCATTAAGGTCATGAACAGAACTCCTTCGCATAATAACATTATGCTCGGGCTTGAGGGGCTTGTGTACCGTACTGTCCTCCCACATGGTCGTACGGTCCTCCCACATGGCGTCCTCTCGTACAGTCTTCTCATGGTCGTCCTCCTAGGACGTCCGTCTATGGCCGTCCACATTGGTCGTGCCAACTGGTAATGACTCATTAAGCCCCTAATGAATATCAAGGCGTGATTGGATCGTCATTAGGCCGACAAAAGGTAAAAGCTCATTACAACCAGTATAAATAAGAGTTCCAGGTATGATTTCTGGACCACACTGCTCATTATGCACACCACATGCATTATTTACGGAGCCAACCGTTCGGTCATTTTACTGACTTGAGCGTCAGAGTGCCTTTGACGGGTGCCCATCCGCCCAACTTGGAGAAGAAGGAGGAGAGAGAGCAACGTCTGTTCATCCAGTCTTCAACGCCCATCCAGTCTTCAATACCACCAAGAGTGTTTCAGTGGGGGACCTCCAAACCTTACCGAAACATTTTACATTAAGAAAGTTAAAACATACTTAAGCAATATTGGGTCTAACTGGGCCAGTTCAAAGATCCAATACAAAAACTATAAATACATAAACAAGATAAAATGATAGATGATTACATTTATTAAGCATTTAAAATTTAACAATTATAATCAATGAATAACTTAATACATTGATCCAATAAAAGTATCAGAGTGTCTTTAATGAATATCTACCTGTCAAACTTGTAGTGTGTGTAGATGAGAGAAGTACAAATTATTGGCACTCAGGAGAACTAAAAAATGTGCGAAAAAGTAACTTGAAAATGTGAAGGTAGACCCTACGTACCGAAACAACTTGTATCAGGAAAAAATGTCTTTTATCTATGAACAATATTCTTCTTTTATTTATTTTAAACATAGGTAATATTGATAGTCAGTCTTGTACAAATGTAGTCCAAATTGAGTTTTCCAAAACACACAGAGATCAAGTGCTTCGGGGAGCATTAATTACAAACTATAAACGTACCAAAAGAAAAATAACATTTTTTATTAAATAAGAAAAACTAGCTACTACAAGGAAGTATTTGTTGAAATACATTTAACTCTAATAAGGATAATTACCTACTCATAGTCATTAAAGAAAGAGAAATTTGTGAAGAATACACAAAAGAGATTGTTTAACTATTTTATTCGCTTTTGAATGATAATAAAAAATAATAAAATTATTTTTATTTTATTATTATATTTATAAAATTAAGTATAAATAATTTTTATAATTTTATTGTAAATAGTTTTTATTTATTTTGTAAATAGTTTTTTAATTAAGAAATTGTTAAATTTAAAAAAAAAACTCTGAAATCGAAAAAAGTGATTAAATTTAAATAAATAGTCATTTAAAAGGTTAATAAAATAACTATTTTAATTTAAAAAGTATTTATAAAATTAAAAAACAAAAGTTAATACCAAATAAAAGTTATTTAAATGGCTACTGTCATATATATATATATATATATATATATATATATATATATATATATATATATATATATATTCACAACTTTCTAATTTTTGTATTTTTTCCTTATCTTCCTAACCTCTTCAAATAGTAGTTCTTAAGTTTCCAAGGCTTTAATATAATATAGGAAAATTATCATTAGCACTCATTTTTCTCTTACTTATTAAACTATCACAATCATATAATATATTTTACAATTTTCACAAGGGTTGTAAGTTTTGGAAAAGGAGAATATTATTATTTTATTTTTTCATTTAAAATTCTAGTATTATTATGTATATTGTTAATAAAAGGGGATTTGTGTACACAATTTCTTTTATTTTATGTTTTGAGGAATTCTTTTAAACTTTTACATATGAGTAACAATTTTTTAATACCAAAATCATCATCTTATTATTTTTACTTTTTAAATAATTGTTTATTTAAATTTTATTATTTTTCAAACTAAAATATTTATATTACTGTTTTATCCTTTTAAATATTTGTTTATTTAAATGAATTGTTTTTGAAATTAGATTAACTACTTACAACAGAAAATAAAAACCATACATGTAAAAAAAAAAGCATATACTAGTATTGTTAAAATAAGGGTTAAATATGTTTTTTGTCCTTTAAGTATCATATGGTTTTGGTTTTAGTTCCAATACTCGAAACTTTGATGGTTTTTAGTCATCATAGTTTTGAAACTCTTACTATTAGTCCTTAAAATTGGACGGCGTTATCTTTTGTTACATGTGGCAAAAGGCGAGGTCACATCTTATGCCAGCTTTCTTCTTCACTCTCTGCCACGTTGGTTGTGCTTGAGAACATCGTTCATCTTATTCAGCAAAGCAACCACGGTTTCCCTTTTAGTGCTTTTATCGTTTCCTTGAGCTGAAATCAAAGGATCTAGACACACTTAAGAAGAAAATTACAGAGCCTGATGCAGACCTGCTTTTACAAAATAAATTTGTGACTCATTTTGTAGGTCTTTTGAGCTTAAGGGACAACCGTTGGTGAGAATGAGTCCTATGGTCTTATTTTTTAGACATCGACTATGATATTTGGAACAACCACATCAACTATGATTTACATTCAAAATGTCTTGTTGTAGAAAAAGTCTAGGCGATTATGGGGAGGAAAGAGATCTTCTACAAACGATGTTATTGAAAATGCATCTGTGAAAGTTAAGAAAATTGGGGATCTGACTCCTGCCCAAGATTTTGAAGCCTTGATTTCCTGGAGAGATAGTCCTGATTAGGTGGTAAAAGCGATCAATGAAATAAAAAATAAAATATTTGACCTGGTGGAGGACTCTCACGAATGTGATAACTATCCTAAAGCATTTAAATGTTTAGTTGTGCTTCATAAGGGTTGCATCCTTGAGCACGTAATCATCTCCCTTATTCAAGATGGTTAGGAATTTCGCTATTCAACACTTAATCGTCTCCCTTAATGTTAGGATTTTCTTTCCTTTTTTTATTTTTTTAAATTTATTTTTATACTTCTTTTATTATTCAATTTTCATTGTCGGGTCTGCAAAGGTTGTACAGTTAGGGTTGGGGTGTGTTTGAAGGAAAGAGCAGATTTTGAATCTAGGTTTTTGTTGGATGGTGGGAATATGGATATAAAAAAGGGTCTCTGATTACGCTTTTGGTGACGACCACGGTTAGGTTTGGTCTTGGTGAAACCACTGCTTCTGCAGTTGCCAATGCAACTATTGGCTTGGATGAAAATGGAGACTCAAAGAGGGAACAATGGTGGATGTGAAAAAGATGAGGCAACTATTGGCTTGGATGAAAATGGAGACTCAAAGAGGGAACAATGGTGGATGTGAAAAAGATGAGAAACCCCAAACATCTGGCTCAGTGTTAGTCACTTTATATAAAAATTTAACATCGTTTAATTTTAAAGATTAATTATAATAACTTTAAAATTAAAAGAATTAAAAACCATCATAGTTTTAAATAAAGACTAAAACCAAAATCATATTATATTTAAAGAGATTAAAAACATATTTTACCTTCAAACCGTTAAAAAGTAGTCTCTGAAGGGGAAGTTTTTGTTATTCGAAACTATTGTTTTCTTTTTCACTATACATAGCTTTATTCTTTTTTATCCTCTCTCAAATTTGTCTTCAGATGGTTAAAAAACGGCAGCTGTGGTAACGCGCCGCACCTTGAGGGAAAAATCCGAAGCAGAAACGCCGCCGTTTTGATGGCTTCTGTGTTTCAGTTGCGGCGTCGTTCTCTCTGCACGTCGTCCTCGAAATGGAGGGTGAAGCAGGTGACAATTTCCAACTTCGAAGAGTCCCTGCAAGAGCTAAAGACTCACATCTCTTCCTCCGACTATGTCGCCGTATCTATGGCCAAGACCGGCTCTCCGTCGCCGCCGTCCTGGCTCCGCCCTCTACCTTTCGACACTGCTCAGACCGCCTACTCCAAGGCCCGCCGCGCCGCCCACCGCTTCCAGCTCCTCCACTTTGCAGTATGCCCCTTCTCCGTTTCCAGCTCCGACAAACTCCTCGCTCACCCGTCAGTTCCCGACACTTTCACTTCTTTTTCGTTTTTTGAAAATGCTGGGTCTCCATTTGTTTTGAAGATAACGTTGAAAATTTGCAGTTATAATTTCGTGCTGTTTCCGAGAGACGAATTGAAAATGGGGATGCCTGCTTACAGCTTTTCGTGTCAGACATCGCTTCTCGCCTCCATGGCTCGCCGGGGCTTTGATTTCAATGCTTGCGTTTATAATGGTGAGCTTTCTGTTGCTTTTGTGTGTTCTTCTTGTCCCTGTTCTCTTTTTGGGGTCGCAAAATGGGTAAATCCAATTCCTTTTGCTTGATGGTTTAAAATTAGGAAAAAACCTAGAACATCTTCCCTGAGTGCTTCTGGTGCTGTTCTGTGATCAAAATATAATTTTAGGCCAGGAAAATTTTCAGCACTTTTAGGAAAGAAAAGTGGAAAGAAAAAAACGTGTACTCGTATTCTAAAATGCTTAAGCTAATTTGTAGAAATTTTCTTTGGGAGAAGTTTGTTTAAACATATCCCATGTTTGGAACCTTCAAACTTAGTTTGTCTTGTAAAACCCCTGTTTCGTGGTATGCTTGTTTTCTCTTTAACTCTGGCAAATTGGAGGAGTGCTAGTGAAATCCTTTTAACACACGTTACCATTGATTAAAATGTACTGGAAACTACAAAATTAGGAGATAGAGTGATTACATGTAGGACCCATTAGAATTTGTAGTTTCCAATATATTTCAGCTGATAACAGAGGGTATGTTTAATGCTCATTTTGGTATAGAGGTAAGAAATTGAGCAAGTGAAAAATGGATAGATGAGAAATGAATGGAAAGAAATGTTGTTTGGATAGAAAGAAAGAATATTTTAGTAATCATAGTTGATTTTATTTATTACTATTTTTTAATTCTTTATTTTATTATAATAATATAAAGAACAAAAGAGTTTAAAAAACTGACCCATAATTGATTATAGTCGATTATGATTTTCAAAAGAACTATATACTCATGGCCAATTCCTTATATTTCTTCTTTGGAATTTTGCATGAAAAGAAAACGGTTAGGATTCTTCCAACAAAACTACAACTTCCTCCCTTTCACCTGCTTTCCTTCCTCCCCTCCCTCGTTAGCTCTAAGAAGCGAAGGTAAAAGATTGTTAGAGAGTGTTATTAGTCTTTCTATCGCACATTTATATTTGACCTAAAACTATTTTTCAGTTGAAAGCACAAAACGAATTTAAGTTTGCAAACATTACTCTAAATATTTACTTATCTGTTGACTTTTAATGCTAATATTTATTTATGAACTACCGAGGGGAAACTCAGCTTTGATTGGAAAGCTGCATAAGCATGAGGAAATACTCCTGAATGGGAAAAAGAAAGAGCTTTTTCTGCCCTAAATATGAAGTAGGGTTTTGGTCATGGTGATTGTTGATTGTCGGAAAGAAAGGAAGGTTATGCTATGAAGTAGGGACTCTTCTAATGTGGTAAATGTGGAAAGAAAGGTTATGCTATGACATGTAAATTGAGGATCTATGGTTCTGTTACTTATTTAGGGATTCAGATTCCAAGCATTTTGATTTTCACATAAGCATGAATTGCCATTGTTGCATGGACATCAGATAGACACTTCTGTTAAGAAGTGAATTTTAAGCCTAACTCAACCTTACAAAACCGGCTTGTAAGGTGAGGTTTGTATCCATTTATATATTCTAAATTGGTTTTATCTCTAGTCGATGCAACACACCCCTCTCACATCGAGGTATATACATCTCGAATGTGAGACTAGACATTAATGGATGGTTCGATAGCGGGTAGAACAATATACCCAACAAACAACAAATATCGCTAGGATGGGCTTTAACTATGGTTCTGATACTATGTTAAGAAGTGGACTTTAAGCCTAATTCAATCCCACAAAACTGACTTGTAAGGTGAGGTTTGCATCCACTTATATGTTCTAAATTGGTCTAACCTAAATTGGTCTTATCTTTAATCGATGTGGGACTTTCAACAAATTCAAATATTGTATGTGCACAAGGTTTTTATCACTAGATAACATGAGCTATCTTATCTTCATTGTAAATTTCCAATTGATTGGCTGTTGAAGTTTGTCGAAATCTCTTTCTGTGGGGAATCTGAATCCCTTATTTTGATATTTTGGTGACCTATGATTGAGGATGAGTCTTAGCATAGATAAACTTGCTTGTGTTGCTTAGCTTAGAGGTCATGGATTCAAATCCTCTTGTGGGGCTGAGATGGAGTAATTTATATTCCTGCACCTCATTTAGTGTTGGTTGGTGCCACCTGCACTAGGTTGAGCCTTAGCATGGATAAACATGCTTCTGTGTTGCTTAGCTTAGAGGTAATGGATTCAAATCCTCTTGCGGGACTAAGACTGAGTAATTTACATTCCCTGCCTCATTTAGTGTTGCTCGGTGCCACTTGCACTAGGTTGCTCTTTTTTTAATAACCTGTTAGTTTTTTATTTGTATGACAGGCATATCATATCTATCTAGAGCTCAAGAGTCAGCAGCTAAAGTTCGTCTTGGAGCTGCTCTCTCTTCTTGTCAAGTGGTGAAATCTTCTTCATCACCAACTGTTGCGGACACAATTTTTGTTGAGAGGATTAGATCACGGATTGAATGTTGGAGAAAGACACGTGAAAGCTCTGGCACAAGCACAGGCAGAGATGGTTAGAAAATCTATAGCAGATTTTTTTACAATCAAGAATTTCTTGTATCTTCTTTTTTTTCTTAAACACATTTTATGCAGAAGAACTTATCAACTCCCTTAGGAATATTGTCCTGGGCAGTGAACAGTTCAGATCAAGACCTTGCATGACTATAGATGTATGCAGTGAACGTCAAGTGCAACTAATTCTTGAGGTATAGTGAACTAAAGAAGTTTTAATTGTTCTAATCTAAATAAGACAACTATGATCACCTCACCATCAGTTTTTTATTTATTTATTTTTATATGTTTCTTGGCTGTTTATTTGTAGATGTTGTTAGACCACTCAGATGATCTTCTTCCTTTGCTGATCCCTGCAAACAGCGGGACCATACATGCAATACGAATTGTTCTGGCAACTTCAAAAGAAGATAAGGAATCATTGGAGGTAATGAGAAATATCTAACCTTTGTGCTTGCCTCCTAACTGTTTTCCATTTTGAAAATACTCATTGTTTAATTTCAGAGAGAGCTTCAGAATTTTGAAGAGGAGAAAAGCAAGAAAATTCGTGGATTTCGAGAGGTGATCGATTCAATCTCTGCTTCCCAGAAACCTGTTATCTGCTACAATTGCCTTAATGGTGTATCTCTTAAATGAAAATTCTCAACTTAGTTGTAGTTGTCTGGTCTACTTTTTCGTGTTATTAACTTCTCATTTACTTATGCAGATTGTACTCTAATCCATTCAAAATTCATTGCACCACTTCCACTGGAGGTAGATGAATTTTTTAGCTCTTTGCACTCAGTTTTTCCCAATGTACTTGACATAAATTACTTGATGAAGAAACATGGAACCATGAGAAAAATGACCAACATTCCGAGTGCTATATCCTACTTGAATAGTAATTTCTTTGCACCAGTTGATATGGAAATTCCTGACCAAGGTCAGTTACCGCGTCTTGTTGTTCACAACTTTCTATTCTTGTGCGAAACTCAAAATCATGCTTATTACATGCTTTCATACATTCATTCATTTTGTCTTGTTTATTTTGTGCAAAGTTTCATGAACAAGGTAATGGCTTCATACTTTACAAAACTGAATGCTTAGGCTTGTTTATGTTTTCATTTTTTAATTACAAAATTGCTAGTTTTCAATATGTTTCTTGTTTTCAAAGATTAGTAATAGAAGTATTATTTTTTTTTTCTGTTTCATGTTTATATTTTTAGAAACAGAAACAGATTGAAAGTATAAGGTGGCAATTTATATAATTAACAGAAAATAGGAAATGAAGCCAAAAGTTAACCGGCACTAGGGGCTTTTACTTGTATTTTGTTTCTTGTTTTCACTTTTTAGTTATGCAATTGTCACCATGTTTTCAATCTTATTTCGTCCTTCAATCCATTTAGAAAACTGCCTGTCAAATAATCTTGCCTTATACCTTTGAAGAACCCCGCATATTGCTCAAATTGTTCAATATACTCTCCCACCTGCCCAATTTGTCTAAGCCCAATCAAAACTTCAAAAGGATTTTGAAGCATTGTTGGTTGGAACCGTTGAATAACCGCCTCTTGAAAGCTTCCCATGTAGGATTCGGATAGCAAGTCTCCCACCACGGGAACCAATTCAGGGCTTTTCCCTCCAAAGCCAGCATAACAGCCCTCATCCTCTCCTCCTCATTGACTTCTTTCAACCTGAAATATCTCTCCAACCTGTTAGTCCAGCCATAAGCATCTTCTCCTGCAAAAACAAGAATATCAAGCTTCCTCCATTTTTCCCTAGTTAGTCCTAAACATCCACTTTCATTCCTTTTGTAATTCTTTAGACTGCCTACACTGCCTTCTATGGCAGTAGAAGCACTATCCGCTGTTTGTTTATCAGAGGATGTGAAACGTTCCACCAACCCAGTCATCCTTGTAAGCATTTCCTCCGACCTTTGGAACCTACTCTGATTTTCATGTTCCTATTCTTGCACTATGCGCTCCAATCCATCTAATCTTGCCTCCATTCTCGTATTGACCATGCCACATAGACGCCATAGCACCAGGAAAATGGCTTTGAATACCAATGATAGGTAACTAGATTTATTTAAAACTGTAAAGACTTCCAAGACAGGTTCTTGGATGTTCACCAGAAAAACTAGATAGCTTTATTAACAATGAAACAAGCACAGTAATCCAAACTGTTACACGTCCTGGTCTTTCAAGAGGACTAGACTCTCCTTAGCCTTCCCTTTACAAAACTTCTTAAAAAACTGCTAAAAACAACTACTTACACAGACTTTATAAAAGTGTGAGACAACAAAACCTACCCACAAACAGTTATAACTGTCTGTCCCTCTTATCTATCCTAATATAAACATTTCCCTTGAACCTATCATTATTACTCTAGGATTTGAGTTCTGTCTATGTAAAAGTTGATGTATTGTTTCAAATCAATTAACAAAACTATCTAATAATCTTGTTTCTGATCAAAAGCTTACTATGACCTAAATTGCTCTATAACCTTCTTTCCCACTCATTGTGTTTTTTAGGATTTTTCCACGGGGAAGACAATTGGAGTATTTAAGAAACAGGGAGGGTTGTATTGCTTTAACAACTTGGAAACTAAGAATAGTATTGATAGGCAAACAACTACCTCTTGTCTCTAGTCTTGCACTACTTTTGAGTCATCTCAAATTTGACTTTTCCTCCATCGTCTAGGACATTCGTCCTTTTCTGTTTTAAAGTCTATGTTCCCTTGTTTACCAAAGAGTCTATTGAGTCATTTAAATGTGATGTATGTCAATTTGCAAAGCACCATTGTGCTACATATCCTTCTAGTAATACAAAGATTGTTCATCCTTTTGATTTGGTTCATTCTTATGTTTGGGGGCAGTATCAAGCTCTATTATTTCTGGTGCTAAATGATTTGTCACTTTTATTGATGATTGTACCTGAGTTACATGGATTTTTCTCATGAAAGAAAAATTGAAGTTTTTAATTTATTTGTTAGATTCTTCCGTATGATAAAAGCACAATTTGGAAAGTCAACTAAACGTTTGCATTCTGATAATGGAAGGGAGAATAGAATATGTTTTATTTTCATGACTTGTAAGTCTTATTTTTTTTTTCATTTGTTGGTTTACACAGCTACTGTAAAAGAAGGCAAGATTCATGGACTTAATGCATTAAGACTAGGCTATTTATTCATGAAGCTATGCTCTATATTGAAAATTTCCCCAAATGTAACTGATTCTGGCAATAAGCATTTGGATCCAGAGCTTGAAGACTTCACCAATGTATTCCATCCACGGTCACATCCAATCCAAGATTCATCTAATGCCGGGATTGTTGGCGTGTGGACCAATAATGCAAGAAAAATCAGTTGTGAACATTTGGTTTTCTTATGGGGATTCAATCTTGGTATGACAGCCGGCATGCTAAAGAATTTACTTCGTTCATCGCACAATATATTTTCAGGAGAGTTTGATGTTAAATTGGTGGACAAGAGTTGTGCCATTATTGTTTTCTGGCAACCTGGAGTATCAAAACAATTTGTAGACATGATGAATAGTGAAGAAATGAGCGGAGACTTAAAGGAGTTGGTGGCAGATGGTCTGAGGGTAACCAGTTATGAGACCTATGACAGAATATGCAGGCTAGGTTTGTGGGAGATGGATCTTAGGGAGTCACTTGAAAGAGCCTTGGAAAGTTCTTCCTGTCATAAGGAGAGTAATTGTGAGAGAAAATCCTCTGAAATTCATTGGTATAATGACAATGTAATTAACTTGGATGATCTTTAATGTTGTGATGTACTCTTATTATTGAAATCTTGGTTATCTTTCATTGATTTTTTGGTGTGATGTTGAACTTGTCATTTAGCAAGATGCTCAATCACAGGTATCAAGCTTGCAATTACAATCTTGTTGATCGATGTACAAGGTATTGTATGTATGATGTGGCGTCATGAGAAGATATGAGAAAAATATTGGGGGAAATAGTATTTATATTCCAAAGTGTATAAATAGTCACAATTTAGTTCTTATTAGCAAAAAATAACATTTTTCACAATATCATAAAGACAACAAATGTAAATTTAACATTTCCAAAATTTTGAATCAATCACAATATTCATCAAATAACAAATAAAATTACAGTCTCAATTTGAAACATTTTGGAGGTTGGATACTCTCATACTCAATCAGAAGTATAATTTAATATTCATAAAATAAATTGCGTGCTCTAGTTAAAATTGTTGAAGTTCACACTTTATCGATCTTATTTATTTACTCATCATAATTAAATTGTACATCAAATTCAAAACATCACTCTTCTAAAGACTTGATGAAATATCACAAAACCACAGATAAAAAGATAAATCAGTTGAATGAATAACATTCCTCAAATAACAAGACTGACGAAACTTTAAAATACTTTTAGATATGACTAACAAAGATTTTAGAGAACAAAAAAGAAGTTATTCTAAATTGAATTGTAATCAGATGGAAATACTCTTTACTCAGCTACTTTCTAACGTACAGGATGAATTTATAGAAAAGATGAGTAACCACTTAAAAAATTAAGAAAGAGGGAAGTTATGGAGAGTGCAAGAGAAGTAAAAATGTGCATGAGGAAAAACAGAAAAAGAAACTGTTGTAATAATGTTAGATTATTGCAAAAGAAAACGTTGGATTACAACGGTCAAAACTTTAATTGCCAACAACGTTCATATTCATTTTATTAAGTGCTCCAACGGTAAAATATTTAATGGCTTTTTATTGATTTTATTCTTTCCTAACTCTATAAATAGAGAGTTTTTCCCCATTCCAAAAACATCCCAAGTCAGTCTTCTCTCCTTTTCTTTTCTTCTTTTCCTCTTCTAAAATTATTCTGGGTTTATTCTTTAGAGTTCCTTGCTAGTTCTGAGATCCTCAGAAATTCTGAGAAGTTCCTGTTGTATCCTGGGGGGCTTGCGCAATACACCGCGGATAAGTCCTTAAGGACAGTGATCTACACGCCTCAGGAAATTGCGGTTTGAGTATTAGTCATTATTTTTACTACAATCTTAAGGACTTATATTTCAATCTTGTTACTGTGAAAAGTAAAAAAGGTATGGGAAGCTTACTTTTCTTTACTTTATGATGAATGTGAACATTTTCTTGAGTATCTTCTTATGATTATGAAAAACTATCTTTGCATTTAAATGGTGATTAATTTAATTGAATGTTTAATATCATGATTGAATATTTTGGTGTGGTAGAATGATTTATGAATTTTTGGGTTGATCATGTAATAAATTGTATTGTTTCTTGTGCGTTATCATCCATGCGTTATCATCCATTTGAAATTCAAGCAATTGAATTCTAAGTAATTGAATTCTACATAATAGAATTCTATAAAAAATCACAGAATGAAATGCTATAAGAATTCACGTAATTGAATTCTATATCAAGAGAGATTAAAAGTTTGTGTTTTAGAAATATAGTAACAGTAAGGTTTCGTTTAATTGCAATTAAAATTAAAATTAGGGTTTTGGAGATTCTTTAATAAGGGATTAATTGGAATTAGGGCTTTCAAAATCCCTAATCAATGACCAAATAAATTGTTTCATAAAGCCAGAGTTTTCTTTCCTTTCTCGTTCTGTTTCCAATTGGGCCTAAACCTATGGGACCCAGTTAAGGGTCCAGCCCTTATCTCCTTCGAAGGGCCATAGAGATGCCATCATCCTGTTCTTTCTTTTTTCTTCATCACGCGAAACCTAGAAGCTCGAGGCTTATGTTCTTTTTCTTCACCGTGGCAACTCAACGTTGGCGGCGAGGTCGCGGCAAGGGTGTCCTGCAACGGTGGTGTTTCCACGAGCGTTTAAAACTCCAACTTCTTTCTCTCTCTTTCTCGCGAGCAACCAACCTGGAGGGATTATTGATGGCGCTGCGATGTGGGTGAAAACAGCGACAACATCGAGTTTTGGGTTCCATTTTTGAGAATTTTAGATCTCGTGTTTGGGGATTAGGATTCCGAGCTGTGATTTGGGGCTTTCTTCTACCTCTGTTCGTAGCATTTTGTGGTCCTTTGTTGATTCTTCTTAGTGAGTTTGATTCTCGCCTTGAAGTTCTGGTTCTCGAAGTTTTGGATTATCCCGTGGTGGTGGTTGCACGAGCGGCGTCAATGGAAGCGCTGGTCGGTGCGGCATGGATGTTATGGTGGTTGGCCGATGAATCTTTCATGGGCCTGACTTGATCTGGGCTGGGTTAATTGGACCGTAAAAATCTTTGAGGAACAGATTTGGAAATTAATTCCAAAATTTATAATAAGAATTTTAATTGGGCTGTAGGCTCATAGTCTGGCTCGGAGGACTGTGATTGGTTCAAATACTTGAACTGCAAACCCAGAGTGTCTAGTTGGGCTTGGTTGCAGGTTTGGGTCTGGAGAACTCATAATCTATTGTTTTAATTAATGAAAATAAATTGTAAAGTGAGAGAAGAAAAATTAAATTATAATAATTATTATAATTATGAGAAGAAAAATTATTATTAAATATTTAGTAATTGTTTGAAAATCAAATTAATTTAAAAGAGAAATTAATTTGATTCAAAAAGAAAATTAATGGGTTTTTAAATTAAATGGGAGTTTGATTTTAATGATGGGTTATAGTAATAAATGATCTATTATTTTGGAATGATATTTATTGTTTGTTTAGAACCCATTGAGCATATAGTATTTTTGAATTTTGAATGAGACTTTAGATGTCGATGAACGATGATTGAATAGTCTCATATTGAGAATGAAATTGTCGCTAGAACTAAATTGTTTCTAGGATCAAAATTTGAAATGAAAGACATGGGTGAAGCCAATGTGATTTTAGGTATTAGAATCATAAGGAAGGAGATAGTATATTACTATCCTAAGAACAATATATTGAGAAACTTCTTAAGAAGTTTAGACCAGTGAGTACCCCTTATGATGCTAATTCTAAATTAATGAAAAATAAAGGAGAATTATTATCTCAGCCTCAGTGTGCCCAGATAATTGGGAGCTTACTACACTTGATGAACTTTTGTTAAGCAGTAGGTAGACTGAGTAGGTACACTCAATCAAGAACATTGGGATGCACTTTCTAGGCTTATGAGATACTTAAGAGGTTCAATGGATTATGCCATTGAATATAGTGGATTTCCCGCTGTACTAGAAGGGTACAGTGATGCTAATTGGATCTCTGATTCAGATGAGACAAAATCCACTAGTGGTTATGTATTCACACTTGGGAGTGGTACGATTACATGGAGATCGGCCAGACAAACAATTATTGCAAGATTAACAATGGAATCTGAGTTTGTCGCTCTTGAGATGGCTGGTAGTGAGGCTGAGTGGTTGAAAAACTTCTTGGCAAACATTCCACTAGGAATGAAACCAACCCCATCTGTGTCAATACACTGTGATTGTCAATCGGCAATAGCTATAGCTAAAAACAAGAATTATAATGGAAAGAATAGAGACACAATTTGGTGAAGCAGCTGCTAAAGAGTGGAACTATTTCCATTGACTATGTGAAGTCAGAACGGAATCTAGCAGATCCTCTGACAAAACCCTGGGAAGACAAATGATATTAGAAACATCGAGGGGAATGAGACTTAAGCCACTTGCAAACAAACAAGTGATGGTAACCCAACCTTTGTGATTGGAGATCCCATGAATAAGGTTCATATGGGTAAAAACAAGTCACTTGTTAGTTCTGATAGCACTAAATTGATTTTAATCAATTATGTCCATTCCTATGGTGTGTGTGAAAGTGCTAGAGACTGCAATATTGAGAGGTTAAACTTTGTCATTAAAATTCTATACGGTGATAGAATTTTGTCTTAAACAAAGTTTTTAATGATTTTTCATATCCCTTACGGGTGGTGTATGATTTGCAGCATACACTTGATGAAATCACCTATATGAGTGTCGAGTGGGGCCGCTTGCATGAGATCTTGGCATGATCTCTAGAGCACTCATGAATACCGGGCACGCGCATGGCCTAGTTAGCGCAACACAGCGATAACAGCAAGGATTGTGGGGGTGTATTGTGATTGATAAACCTCTAACACACGTCAAGTGTCTTTGGTTCATATAGCTTGCTATACCAACTACACTGTGTGTTAAGTATTTCAATCTAAGACTGGTTCATATAGCTTGCTATACCAGGTCTGATGCATTACATCCTATGAGACCCAGAATAAAAGTTTCTTGTTTTTTTTTTTTCTTTTGCAATAAGTGGGGGATTGTTGTAATAATGTTAGATTATTGCAAAAGAAAACGTTGGATTATAACGGTCAAAACTTTAATTGCCAACAACGTTCGTATTAATTTTATTAAGTGCTCCAACGGCAAAATATTTAATGGCTTTTATTGATTTTATTCTTTCCTAACTCTATAAATAGAGAGTTTTTCTCCCATTCCAAAATCATCCCAAGTCAGTCTTCTCTCCTTTTCCTTTCTTCTTTTCCTCTTCTAAAATTATTCTGGGTTTATCCTTATACTCTCTTTAGAGTTTCTTGCTAGTTCTGAGATCCTCAGATATTCTGAGAAGTTCCTGTTGTATCCTGGGGGACTTGCGCAATACACCGCGGATAAGTCCTTAAGGACAGTGACTCTACACGCCTCAGGAAATTTTGTTCGTGATTATATCAGTTTTTCCAACAATCTTAAGGACTTATGGCTGACATCAACAATTCAATCTTGGAGGTTCAAAACTTTGCTTCTAAACTGAAAGGTATTTGAGAAACCACTTTCATATATACAAGCTACTGTCAAAAGTAAAAAAGGTATGAAAGTTTACTTTTGTTTATTGTATGATGATGTTTGAATTTTTGAATGATACTTCTAATCAAAAATAAATGGAATTGATTATTGCGTATTAATATGTTAATATCATTTTG